GGCATTGTGGCAGGCACCTGTAGTCCCAGCTACTTGGGAGGCTGAGGCAAGAGCATTGCTTAAGCCCAGGAGTTGGAGGTTGCTGTGAGCTGTAATGACATGACACTCCATGGAGGGCGACAGCTTGAGGCTCTGTCTCCAAAAAAAAAAGAGAGAGAGAGAGAGAGAATGTGAAGGCGGGGCATGGTGGCTCAGGCCTGTAATCCCAGCACTAGCACTCTGGGAGACCAAGGCGGGTGGATTGCCTGAGCTCACACGTTCAAGAAGAGGCTAAGCCAGAGCAAGACTCCCCTCCTCTAAAAATAGCGGGGAGTTTTGGTGGGTTCTTATAGTCCCAGCTACTTGGGACGCTGAGGCAAGAGAATCACTTGAGTCCAAGAGTTTGCAGTTGCTGTGAGCTATCACAGCAGTCACTGTACCGAGGGCGACAAAGTGAGATTCTGTTTCAGAGGATGTGAAAAACTCTCTCTGAAGTGACTTAAGCAGGAGACAGAGGGGGTCTGAGTATTGTAGGTAAGGGGAACAACTTGTGTTGAGATCCTGAAGCAGAAGGCTGTTCAGAAGGTTCCAGAACACAGAGGAGGTCAACAAGACATGAGAGTAGCCCAGGAGCTAGGGAGGCTGGCCAGGCAGGAGGCTCACCACGTTCTTACCTTATTCAGAAACACGGCTTACCCTATTGCTTACTGATTACTCTCACAACGGAATTGTTTTCCCGTACCTTTCACTGTAAATATGCGGAAGTGAACATTACAGGTTAAATGCACTTGGCTGTTTGCAAAATCCTGCCGTGGCAAAAAGGGTCCAACCTTTGTCTTTTCCCAAATTCGTTTATGGGCTCTCGCCCGTTAGCTCTGCCTTGAGCTCCATAAGCCCTGTAATTAGCCGAAGTGGCGCTCGTGTTCCCAGAGAAGTAAGTTCTGGGGACACACTGGCTTGCTTTCTCTGGCCGCAGGACGCTTAAGTTAAAACCAACTACGAATTGGTTTGTCAAAGAAGTGAAAACATGACCCTTGTTAATAGATATCCTCAAGCTCTTTTCCAAGTACTTCCTGGAAAATACTGTCTTTAGTTGCAGCAGATAAAATCCAAACTGTCTACAGCGGAGAAGGAGAACGAGGAGGGCACCTTGGTCCTAACCGTGTCGCCGGAGAGAATGACAACTCCAGCCCCACACTGCCGAGTGCCGGGTTCCTTGGGGGCGGGGGAGCGGCAGGGGCCTCGCAGCCCGGTCGCTGCGCTCAGGCCCGGGTGGAGTCCCTGCTCCCTTCTGCTCTCGCTCTCTCTCCGGCGCCCGCATGAGGCGCCATCCCCGGCACCGTCCCGCACGCGCGGGAACCTCCGCCCCGGCTCACACACGCCCGGCTGCGCCTCCGGCTGCCGCGCTCCGCGATCTGCAGTAGCCCACGAGCCCTCCCGTCTGTGCCGCGTACCGTTCGGCCAGAACTCGGAGTTTAATCACACACAAACGGCGTCCGGCTTCCTGTCCTCATCCCCCCTCCCGCCCCGCTTCCCTCGCCCCTCCCTCTCCCAGCCCGACGCGCCCGCCCGCTCCCCCACCCCTGATCCCTCGGGTCCCGGGATGGGGGGGCGGTGAGGCAGGCACAGCCCCCCGCCCCCATGGCCGCCCGTCGGAGCCAGAGGCGGAGGGGGCGCCGGGGGGAGCCGGGCACCGCCCTGCTGGCCCCGCTAGTGCTGGGCCTGGGCCTGGCGCTGGCCTGCCTTGGCCTCCTGCTGGCTGCGGTCAGCCTGGGAAGCCGGGCATCGCTGTTTGCCCAGGTGAGGCCCCGCTGCACGCCCTTCCCTCGGCACATGAGGAGAGGAGACTGCAAAGAAGCCGCTGGGGACCGGGAGGGGTGAGGGCAAGGGCACCAGAGGATGGGTGGAGGGCGAGGTGTCAGGTGGAGAAGGACAGGGTGACGCTGCCTCCTTCCCAGCAGGAGCCTTCCCAGGGGGAGCTGGTGGCAGAGGAGGACCAGGACCCTCTGGTGAGTGGGTGTGTGGGCGCTGTCTGCAGGCTGCAGGGCAGGGAAAGTGCACCGGGTGTGCATGACCATGTGTACGCCTGGTGTGTGTCTGGATGTGGGGGGACAGAGAGGGTGACCAGTGACAACTGAGTGTAAGGGGGCTTGTGCTGGGCTTGTGCCATCTGAGTCTGAAGTGTTTATTGCCTGTGGGTGACGTGGGAGTGTGAAATATGTGAGCCCTGGAAGAGGGATGCTGTTGTGTACAGGGTGTGTGCATGCCAACGGTGGGTGGGGTGTGTGCGATGTGTTAACTGAGTACAGGGTCTGCATTGGTTGGGGGGGGGGTTGGAGAAGGTGTGAAGGTGGTGAGGACAGGGCCTCATCTGCAGCACCTTGCCTGCCCCTTGGCCCCAGCCATACTTGATTGGCCCCAGCCATACATGATTTGTCCCGAAGATTTCTATGCTTATTGATGGCTGGTTCTCCTGACAGACCCTGTCTGTCTCAGTTTATGACTCTGGTGTCCTTGGTTGAGCCCTGCCCTAATTCCCCTAGGAACTGAATCACCAGACAGAGGAAAGTCAGGATCCCGTGCCTTTCCTGAAACGATTAGTCCGGCCTCGCAGAAGTGGTGAGCATCCCTCTGTCCCAACCTCAGGAATGCAGTAGTGGCCCGTCTGTAGTATCTTCTGGATTCATTGTTGCTTTTGTTGATCATAACAGTCCCATAAAGTGGGCAGAGCAAAACCATTATCCTCACAGAGAAACTGAGACACATAGATTGATGGGGGGTTCAGAGACATGCAGCTAACCACTCTGACCTAGGGGTTCTGGCCCTCCCTCTGGAGGGGTGTGTTTCTTCAGACCCTATCCTAAACATGAAGGGGTCTGGGTCAGGAGTTAGGAGAATCCCTGGGGCCAAGGTGAGCCCCAATAGGCAAAGAGACTTATGAATGGGAGACCATATGACCATGTACCCAGGATTGTGTGTGGCTTACATTATTTAGCTCAGTGTGATTATTAACAGCATCCTGCTTCGCTTGTATAAGTATCCCAGTATGGATGATAAATTATATAGTCACTCTACTTATGGAGGAAGATGAGGCCTCAGATTCTGAAGCTAGGAGTCTGGGCAATTCTGAGGATGTCATGGTCCTTGAGAGGGGAACAGGGTGGGGGCAGTAGCTCTTGGCTCCCCCCACCCACCAAGGGCCTATTTTGCTCATCTGTTTTTCTTTGATTCTTAGCACCTAAAGGCCGAAAAACACGAGCTCGCAGAGTGATTGCAGCCCACTATGAAGGTGGGTGATAGATGAGCCATGCCCAGGGAGGAGGGACAGCAGAGGAACAGAGCAGGTCTCACCAATGCTTTCCTGTGTCTTACAGTTCACCCAAGACCTGGACAGGACAGAGCGCAGGCAGGTGAGACTCCATCCCCCACACAGCACTGGCCTTTTGGGAAAGGGGCCCCTCAAAATCTTTGACTTCCTACCCCACCATCAGACTTGGAACCCCACAAGCTGGTGGTTCATGAAGGTCCTCAGGGCTTGGTTCTCTCTGTGATCCAGGCAGGGAACTTGCCCTTCCCCAAACCCAGACCAGCTATCCCACCAAACCTCCAACCCGGCTCTCTCCTTCAGCCCTTCTTCTCCAAGAAGCACCTTTGATTCTCCCCTTGCTTTTTCCCCCATATTCCATGTCTTCCTTCCTTGATCATTCTTTCTCAAAATGTTTTTTTGTTTGTTTGTTTGTTTTTTGCAGTTTTTGGCCGGGGCTGGGCTTGAACCTGCCACTTCTGGCATATGGGGCTGAAGCCCTACTCCTTTGAGCCACAGGCACCACCCTTAATCAGTTTTTTGTTTTTGTTTTTGTTTTTGTTTCTCAAAGTGTTGCCAGCATCTGCCCATCTTTTCCCTTCTACCTTACCCTTTACCTCAGCACTATCACCTCAGAACCTCAAACCCAGCCTCTTGCTCCCTCACTATTCCACCCTCTCCCCATCCTTCCACTGGGTCCTACCATGTTGCCAATCAAAGCCCTTCTGCACTACACTTTCATTATTTCATTGTCTATCGGGTTGGCTCCCAGCCTCTCTGTGGTCTGGCCTCTGCCTGAAGGTTGAAGATAGGATTTGCTTGTGGGTTGGATATGAAGAATAAGAGAAAGGTAGGAACCACAAATGACTTCTAGATTATTAACGTGAATTTCTGGGAATAATGATGCCATTTCATAAGATGGGGTTGGCCAGGGTAGAAATAGGTTGAGAGGTGTATAAAATAATTAATTTTGAAATGCCTAAAAGAAACAATGATAATAAATTCCACAAGTAGATGGCTGGACATAGTAGACTAGATCAGACTAGGCCAGAACATATAGTCAGGAGTCATGGCCAGAACCCCAGGGGAAAGAAGGGCCTCAAGAATGAAGTGCTGCCGGATGCTCACACCTGTAATCACAGCACTTTGGGAGGCCAAGGTGGGCAGATCACCTGAGCTCATGAGTTCAAGATTGTTCTGAACTAGAGCAAGACACCCTCTCTTAAAAAAAAAAAAAATAGCCAGGTGTTGTGGTGGGTGCCTCGAAAGGCTGAGGCAAGAGAATCGCTTGAACCAAGAGTTAGAGGTTGCTGTGAGCTATGATGCCAGGGCACTCTACCAGGGGTGATAAAGTGAGACTGTCTCAAAAAAAAAAAAAAGAAGAAGAAGAATGGAGTGCTGAGGCTGGGCACAGTGGCTCACTCCTGTAATCCTGGCACTCTGGGAGGCCCAAGAGGGTGGATTGCCTGAGCTCACAGGTTTGAGACCAGCCTGAGCCAGAGTGAGAGGCTATTCTCTAGTAGCCGGGTATTGGGCGGCGCCTGTTGCGCAGTGAGCAGGGCCCCATATACCGAGGGTGGTGGGTTCAAACCTGGCCCAGGCCAAACTGCAACAAGAAAACAGCCGGGCGTTGCGGTGGGCACCTGTAGTCCCAGCTACTCAGGAGGCTGAGGTGAAGAGAATCACCTAAGCCCAGGAGTTGGAGGTTGCTGTGAGCTGCAATGCGACAGCACTCTACTGAGGGTGACAAAGTCTGTCACTTAAAAAACAAACAAAAAATAGCCAGGTGTTGTGATGGGTACCTATAGTCCCAGCTACTTGGGAGGCTGAAGCAAGAGAATCACTTTAGGCCAAGAGTTTGAGGTTGCTGTGAGCTGTGATGCCCCATCACTCTACCAAGGGCAACAAGGTGAGACTCTGCCTCAAAAAAAAAAAAAAGGAATGAAGTGCTGAGGCTCCTTGGACATCTTGAAGTGGAACAGAGGAGGGAAGCCAGTAGAGGAGGCTGAGAAGTAGCCAGAAAGAGAGGAAGAAACCCGGGGAGGGTGGTGTCCTGGACTCTAAAAGAAAGCACTATGAAGGAGGATGTGGCTGTCTGTGCTTAATGCAGCTGAGAGGTCACATGAGATGAGAACAGAGGAATGTCTCTGGGTTTGGTAACATAAAAGTCAACTGTTGACTTTAATGGAGGCAGTTTCAGTGGCCAGTAAGGATGGAAGGCAGTGTGGAATGGATTAAGAAAATGGGAAAGAAGGAATCAGAGACAGTGGCAACCCTTTTCAGAAGTTTCTCTGGGCTTGGTGCCTATAGCTCAGGGGTTAGGGCACCAGCTACATACACCAGGGCTGGCAGGTTTGAACCCAGCCTGGGCCTGCTAAACAACAATGACAACTACAACAAAAAAATAGTCAGGTGGTGTGGCAGGTGCCTGTAGTCCCAGTTACTTGGGAGGCTGAGGCAAGAGAATCACTTAAGCCCCAGAGTTTGAGGTTGCTGTGAGCTGTGATGCCACAGCACTCTACCAAGGGCAATATAGTGAGACTGTGCCTCAAAAAGGAAAAAAAAAAAAAAAAA